AGGACAAGGTGCTGGAGGAACCATCATGGGAGGACCCCTACATGGGATGTACCACCGACAAATAACTGAAGTGGCTGATATCAGGAAATCCTACCTCATCCTGGTGTAGGTTGTGCAAGGAGGCCTCTGAGACAATCCAGCACATAACAGCAGGGTGCAAGATGCTGGCAGGGAAAGCGTACATGGAACGACATAACCAAGTGGCGGGCATAGTGTACAGGAACATCTGTGCAGAATATGGACTGGAAGCCCCGAGATCGAAGTGGGGAACANCCCCAAAGGTGGTGGAGAATGACTGAGCTAAGATCCTGTGGGACTTCCAGATCCAGACAGACAAGATGGTAATGGCGAACCAACCGGACATTGTGGTGGTGGATAAAGAACAGAGGAAAGTCGTTGTGGTGGATGTAGCAATACCAAGTGACCACAACATCAGGAAAAAGGAGCATGAGAAACTGGAGAAATACCAGGGCCTCAGAGAGGAACTGGAAAAGAAGACCACAGTGGTGCCTGTGGTCATCGGGGCCCTCGGGGCAGTCACCCCCAAACTGGAGCAGTGGCTACAACAGATCCCAGGAACAACATCAGACATCTCAGTCCAGAAATGTGCAGTTCTAGGCACAGCCAAGATACTGGAGGAACCCTCAAGCTCCCAGGCCTCTGGTAGAGAGAGAGAGAGAGAGAGAGAGAGAGAGAGAGAGAGAGAGAGACCACCCGCAGAGTGTGAGAAGGGAATTATTAAATAGGGTGGATAGGCTCAATGTTTTGGGCACTTATTTAGTGAAACTTTATGTCTTGTCATTTTTATGATTATGACTTATATATAATGAAAACTCAAAATTTAGTGTGTCAAATAATTTTAAAAATTGCTTGAGTGCAATAAAAAAGATTGTTTTAAACTGGAATGTTAGCTTCTGAAAATTATGTAGATTTCTGGATCCTCCTGCATGAATTACTGCATCAATGCGCCGCAGCACAGAGGAGATCAGCCTGTGACACTAGGTGTAATGGAAGCCCAGATTGCATAAACGACGCCCTTCAGGTCATCTGCTTTGTTGGGTCAGGTGTGTCTCATCCTTCACCTAGCAAAACTCCAGATATTCTGTAGGGGGCTCAGGGCACTCAGGCACAGGAGTGAATGTTGCAAGTCAAAGACTCAATGCTCTGCTGGGTTTTACTTTGAATAATTAATTGAGCATAATTCATTATTTGATAACTAGAATCAATTGTAATGTGTGTGGTTGATATAAAATGTGTTTTTAAAGTTCCTTGAGATGACATTTGTCAAGAAATGGTACATAAATAAACTGAATTGAATTGAATTGGCACCTTTGGCTGTGTAGGTGTTGCAACCTCCTAAACAACAAAGATGTTATCTGACACAGAGATTAGCAAAATAAAAATGAATAATAACAACAGAACAGTGCGTCAGGGTATGTAAGTTTTATTTTAAAAAAATGCTTTTGACATATTTGCTAAAACTGTCACAATGTTGTGATGGTATAATATGAGATATACAATCTGTGAAAAAATTGATCTCCTCTGCCTTCTCCCAGTGCTATCTACAGAAATATACAACCGTCAGAAACAACCAATCAGAGTGCTGTCAGTCACTCTTGTGTACAGCTCACACCCTCACTACAATGGAGCCTGTCAGGACTGTTAAGACTAATTAGCATGCCCACCGATGACGATGGATAAAAAATTTTCCTGGAACATTAAGTTATTTTTCTGCAACTAGCACTGTGAGCAGTGAGTACATGAGATTGAGAGACAGCGCGAAGACCCTCCTCCTGGCTCTGATTGGTTTATTGGTCAGGAGCGGTGCATTTTGTTCAGGGAAGAGATCAATCTTTTCACAGATTATCTGTCTAATAAACTATTGTGACATGGTGACAGTTTTAACAAATATGTAAAAGCTTATTTACAACACTTTTCTGAAGTTACAAGCCACAACTTTGTCAATAAAAATAGGTACTTATTTAACAATTATGCCAATCCAGCAAATTACACAACAAAAAATAAGGTAAACTTTATGCTCCACAGTCTCCAAGTCCAAAACAACAAACAAAAAACTCCCTTCTAACTAAAAAACTAAAACACAGCTCCATCTACAATAAAACAACAAAAAAACGTACAGTGCCTGATCTTCATATCAAACCACAAGACATGAGAAAAATAGAGTGGAACAGAAATGGCAGATAATTCCTACTGACTCCCACTGTAAACTGACACACTTGCCTCTTACATGTTCAAAAAGAAATCATAGCAAGCTGCTCAAGTCTATAAGCAGTTCCAGACAAGATCACTGCAGCTCAAGGCCCAGGGAAGAGGGGACTGGCTCTTTGAGAGGACTGAAGAACTGCAGCACATCTCACCTGTCACAGTCAGGCAAACCTGCTACAAAGAATTAGAACAAACTCTCACATGAGGGGAGCTGATGAAGGTCAGGGACTTTAACAGTAGGCAGGTGCCAAGTTCTGCTGCAAAGTGAAATCAGCATTTCAATAAAGCTTGTCAAAAATAGCAAGCACAAAAAGCTCTAAAATTTCCTTCTGGATGACTGTTTTGACTGTGGACTTTAGAAGACACAGTGGACTGACACCAGCACAGTGTACCGCAGTGTGTGTGTGCGGGAGGGATGGGGTGTGGGGGTGAAGTATCTTGGGGGTCTAATTGTTTACATGTTTGCTATGTGTCTCAATGGGGTAATGAGCAGTAAAGGAGCTACAGTGAGGTCAAGTGTGTTACACTACAGCAGTGTTTGTCTGCCTTCAGTTGACAGATCATTAGCTGGTAACTGGAAGTGATCGGGATGAAATACCAAACATTTACTCTTTACTTTCACCTTATGTTAAAGTTCAGTCCTGCATTTTGACTAAAAATGTATATTTTTTGGGCATATGCCCAAAAAACCCACAATTTCATCGCTGAATGACTACTGCCCTGTTGCACTCAGTCCTATAATGATTAAATGTTTCGAGGGGCTGGTGAAGGATCACATCATCTCAAAACTTCCCTCCTCATTTCATCTGCTCCAGTTTGCCTACCGCTCCAACAGCTGTTTCCTCAACACTGCACTTGAGCCTGAAACACTTAGAGGAGAAGAATACTCGTGTGAATGCTGTCACTAGCTCTCCTTGGGTTCAACACTCCCCTGTGTAACTGGCTGCTGGATTTTCTCACACAGACCTCAATCTGAGCCCACTGCTCTTCACCCTGATGACCCTTTAGTGTCAAGCCAGGTTCAGTACGAACCACGTCATTAAGTATGTGGACGATACGACAGTGGTGGGTCTCATCAGGGACAACAATGTTCTAGCCTACAGAGAGGAGGTGAAACATCTGGTGGACTGGTGTGATGCAAACCATCTAATCCTGAATGCCAACAAAAGAAATTGTTGACTTCAGGAAAAATCAGCCAAATCACACACCCCTCCTCATCAATGATGCTGCAGTGGAACAGGTCAGGAACATTAAATTGCTGGGGATACAGATCACTGACACTTTGACCTGGTCCCTCCAAACCTCTGATCTGGTAAAGAAAGCTCAGCAACATCTTACACTCTTTATTTTGGATAAGAGCAAACCTCCCTCCTTCCATCCTCACCACTTTCTACAAAGGGACAATAGAGAACAAACTGACCTGCAGCATCTCTGTCTGGTTTGGAGAATGTAACACCTCTGACTGGCAACATGTGGAGAGAGTGGTGAGGACAGCTGAGAGAATCAGGAATGAGCTTCCTTCCATCCTTGACAGCTCCCAGTCGCTGCCTGTCCGAGGCTCGGCCAATCAAAGACCCTTCAACCCTCACTATGGTTTGTTCTCTCTGCTGCCTTCTGGGAAAAGGTTCAGCAGCTTCAAATGCAGAACAACCAGATTCCACAACAGCTTCATCAATCATGCCATTAGACTACTAAACTCCAATTAATTTAATATTTTATTATATTTATATTATAAATATATTGCATATCTTTATAATATAATAAATTTATTATGTATTTATATAACCTGCTGTGTTGGCAGGTTTCTCTGTTTTCATTGCTGCATTTTGTTATTGGAGTCTTGTGATAAAATTTCTTTCAATATGTATATTTTTAAATGCACAATTGAATAAGATTAAATATGTATGTCTAAAAATAAGAGAACATTAAAAAGCTATATTTCTTGACTGTCTCAATATGCTGCTAAACAGCACTTTTTGCATAAATTGGATGAGACCCCCATGATGTCACATTGTAGTTCACCCACCATTTGAACACATCGTTTTAACATTAAACCATCTGCATTGACAGAGACATTGTGATGACCATATGACTGGAAGATTCTGTTGGTGGCCATGTTTAGGTCTAAAGACCAACACATGGCCTCACCATGTGCTGTGTAAAGCTGTGTTGGCAGGTTTCTCTGTTTTCATTGCTGCATGTTTAACAAACTTCTCTCTAATTTCTAAGCTTACTGGCTCACATTGAGTGTGCAAGTCATTATAGATTAATGTAATAGCCCAGCTGCATCAAATATTTCCAATATTACACAAGTTGTTGCTGTGAATTTCTGATAAGACTTCTAATTTCTTTGTGCTCTCTAGAAACCAGGAATGGATCTGGCGGACACCTACATTATCTTTGTTCGGCAGAACCAGGACATCGTTCGAGATCATATCAACGACGAGGTCTGCATTGAGAAGGTCTTTGATGTGAGTTCTTAGCATTACAGAAAAATAATCGAATGTATTCTGATTATGTTTTGTTTTAAAACAAAATGATTTTGAACCATTCTTTTTGTCTTACATCTTGCTGTTCTGATATTGCTTACAATATTCCTTTTGGATTTAATTAATGAACAGAAACAACTAAGGTCTGGCAGCAACAACTGCAACCAAGTGTTTGTGACAATGTGCAGTGAGTCTTTTCCAAGCATCTTTACAGATTTTTTCTAATTCAGCCACATTGGAGGGTTTCCAGTATGAATGACCCATTCAAGGTCATGCCACAGCATCTCAGCAAGATTAAGGTCTGGACTTTGACTAGGCCACTTCAAAGTCTGTGTGTTGTTTTCCTTTAGCCAATCAGAGATGGATTTGCTGTTGTGTTCTGGATCACTGTCCTGCTGCAAAACCTAAGTTGGTTTCAGGTTGAGGTCACCAACAGATGGGTGGACGTTCTCCATCAGGATGTTTTGGTCAACAGCAGAAGTCATGGTTCCATTTAGCTTCCAGGTCCTGAAGCAGCAAAACAGCCCCAGACAATCACACTGCCACCATCATGTTTTCCTGGTGGTATGATGATTTTTTCTGAAATCATCATACCAACTTTTACTTTTACACCAGATGTAACAGAATACACACTGTCTAAAGAGTTCAACTTCTCTCTCATCAGTCCACACAATGCTTTCCTAAAGTGTTTGGGATCATCAAGATGAGTTCTGAAAAAACAAAGTACAGTCTTAATGTTCTTTTTGCTCAGCTGTGGTTTTCACCTTGGAACTCTGCTATGCATGTCCTTTTTGCTCCATGTCTCTTTTTTATGGTGCCCTCAGGCATGACCTTACTTGAGGGAAGTGAGGCCTACAGTTCTTGGATGACATTATGCTGTCTTTCTTGGTGTGATGTTGGTCAGTTGTCCACTCCTGGGAATCTCCACCATTGTTCCATGTTTCCACCATGTGTGGATAACGGCTCTCACTGTGGCTCACTGGAGTCCCTGAGCTAGAAAATGGCTTTGTAATCCTTTCTGGACTGATAGGTCTCAGTTACTTTCTCTCATTTGTTCCTGAATTTCTTTGAAGGTCAGCATAATATCTAGCTTTTGAGGATCTTTTGGTGTCCTTCAGTTCGTCAGGCAGGTCCAGAGTAAGTGATGTCTTGACTGAGAACAGGAGTGCCAGTAATCAGGCTGCAGACAGTGAACTCAGATGTGATAGATTACAATTACGTTTTAAGACTTCATTATGTGTTTACTTTTGTTGTCTTTTACTAATAATTAAATTGGTGTGACATTGTGAAAAACATAGGAAGTCAGGAAAAGTGAAAACTGTTTCACTCCACTGTAATTCTCAACCAGCCGCTTGAGAGCAAAGACTAAGTTCCCAACAGTTCATCAGGAGGAAAATGAAGCCAGCTCTGATGTTTCAGTTCACCTGCTGAGCTACAGCTGTCCCACCATGAGGACTCTGGATACCTAATACATCTAGCAAAGATCTGTTGTCTATGGACTGTGCCGTGTAAACTCTGTTCAATCAGCTTACTTCATCACAGTTCCTGCTGGTGGAAGAGATCATTTCTGCATTAAAGTGGAATGGCTCCAAATGTGACCGTCTCTAACACATGAATCTGCTTTGATCTAGTCCATCCACTGGCTGGATGTTTAGCTGGTTCTCCTGCTGGAAGCTGAACCCCCTCAGGTCTTCTGCCCCAGGATTAATTATCTCCATCCATCCACCATCTCATTAACTTCAACCTGCTTCTCTGTCCCAGCTAGAGGAAATCATTCTCACAGAATGATGCTCTGGTTTGTTTGTAGGCCAAAGTATTTCATTTTGATCTGTTTTGAGTAGAGCACCTTTTTACACTTTTTCTCTATCTTGTACTCAGCAAACTGCAACAGGATTTCTTCTGTATTTTTCTTGTTCCTCTTCCATTTACCACACTCCCCTTGGCTGCTTCAGGAGAGATTACTGGTCTCTTTGTCCATCCTGTCAGTCCAGGTGGACGTCCATCCAGCTGCACTGAGACTGAGAATCATTTAATTGTTGAAATATATTGACTAAAAATGTGAAGTGTTTTGGTAATTGGTTGCTCTGAACTTTATTTAGTGGAGTGATGTGAAATGTGACTAGATGTAATTGATTGCCAAGTTAAAACAACTTGTATCATTTTTCTTCCACTCTTCTTTGTTTTGGTTTATCAAAAAAACCAACATCTAAGTTTGTTCTTATTGTGTGACAAAATGTGAGAGTTCAGTGCATCCAAATACATTCTTTTGTAAGGCACTATGTGACTTTGGGCAACATATTCAACAAAGAAACCCGACCTGTCAGGATTCAGGAGCAAATCAAGCCTCAACCTCTACATTCATACACATGGTTTATATCCACTCACTACCAGATCCTGTTGTTTCTTATAACTGGCAGTGTGATTTGATAATATTTAGTTATTCTTGACATAATTCTCTAAAGCAACTGACAGTCAGGTGTTTTTACTGTTTGATTCTCCACTCTCAGAGCAGCAGGAGGTCTCTGTGATACTGAAAACAGTGTCTGCTTCTATTGACCTGTTTATCACTTAGGAACACTGAGAGCATTTGGCTCGCTCTGCTGGAGCCAAAAACCCTTTTACACCTCATCCTATCCATCCGTCTCCCATCTCTCTCTCCCATGCTGGCTGTTGTATTCACCGGCTGCTTCCACCTGCAAGATTCAGATTTGTAAGAATATTCTAGCAGGCAGTTTCCTAACACGCCTCAGCTCCCCGTTGGAGTGAATGCAGTGATTTAGGCATGGCAGTTCAGGACTTGGTACACATTAGCAGCACGAAGCAGAGCGATGGATTTCTGCCACCCGTTGGCTCCTCTGAGGGTTCAGAGTGAGCCTCAAGCTGCACTGTGCTGATGTATGTGTGTGTGTGTGTGTGTGTGTGTGTGTGTGTGTGTGTGTGTGTGTGTGTGCATTTGAGGGAAGGGGATAGAGGAGAATGAGTCTAATGGAGCTCAGAAGCGCCCAGTCATGCACTGAGGAGGAGGTGACAGCAGGGCCTTGAAGTGTCTAAGCTAAGTCCTTCAATATGAATGCAACACACACACACGCGCGCGCACACACACACACACACACACACACGTGCATCTTCTGTGCAACAATAGAAGCAAATGTAACGTTTGACAGCAGCATCAGGCCCCTCAACAGGAGTGTTTTGAGTGTGGAATTGTCCTGTTTATGGGCCTCTCTGCAAGTCAATCAAATTCATTTACTTTACAGCCTCTCCTCTTTCTTCATCGATGAAAGCAGACAAGCCATGGTAGGAGCATGAAAGATGTGTAGAACAAACACACACTGAGCATTAAGGATATTTGTGTGCTTGTGTACGTGAGAGTTGTAGACATCCTCCTCCCTTCCACACACACACCCATGGATCAGTAACAAATTATTATAAGTTATACCTATTAGAAATAAGTCAACCAATAACACAATTCAATGGACTGAGTCATGACTGTGCTGACTTTGGGTGTGGCCCAGGTTATGGTGCCATACTGGCAGGTATGAATATTTCACAAATAGCAGAAGAAAAAGCCTTGAACATTTAAACTGGGGGAGTTTAATTATGAAATATTAAACTCCCCCAGATCACTTCTGGCCTGTTGAGTGGTTCACTGATGCTTTCCGTTCTTTTTTTTTTTTTTCGATAACTGGCTATAATGAGATTTTTCAGCCAATTATTATTTCGTCCTCCTCTGAACTTGTGAACTCGTAATAGTCGTTCCTCTCTGCCATGATTGCTGTGTTTACTAAGCTGAGTCACCGTGATGTTACTTTTTCTGGGGAGCATGGGGTTTGTGAAGCAGATGGGCTACAGCAGCAGAAAACCACCTGATACCACTCATGTACCATACTTTGGGGGACTTAGTACTAAACACCACAGCCTACCTGAGTACTGTTGCAGACCCATCTGTACCCATATTCTGATGGCTACTACTTCCTAACCATGAAAATCAGTATTTGTAATCTTTTGATCACTTTTGTATCCATATTTTTATCGAACCAATACGTATTGGTATGGCAAATTCACACCATGGATGTCCAATTGACAAGTCTGCAGCAATTAGATGATACTATTTAATCAAGCAGCTTTTTAATGGCCATAGTTGGCACAACATGTGCCCAAAGAGAGGCTGGGAAGTGTATGCATGAAGCTATGAAACCTCTGAGAAATGACTTGAGTTGATGTTAAAGCTACTTTGCAGGCTGTGGACCCAGCTCAGTACTGTATTACTGCCAGCAGCACTAGCCAGCTATCTTCTGTTGTAGCCAACTGGCCAGGCGCAAAAATCATCATCAAAATCATCAACATCAGCTCCTCCCTGACAGCTTGGTGGGAGGTTCTAAAAAGGATAGCCTTCACTAATCCCATGCAGATGTACACCCATCTGGAACAACTCTGACATCCTACAACACAATGCTATGATAAACTTCCCAAGTTGAAAGTGTAAAGGACTCAGATACCTGGAACATACACTGTATTGCCAAAAGTATTTGCTTGTGCATCAGGTTGCAGATGGAGACGTGTGATTCGTCAATCCAGAGAACGCCTCCACTGCTCTAGAGTCCAGTGATGGTGTACTTTACACCACTGCATCCCACGCTTTGCATTGAACTTGGTGACGTTTGGCTTTGATAGAGCTGCTCCACCATGGAAACACAGGCTATGTCGAGTGGGGCCTATGGGCAGGGTTAGCTTTTGGGCGGAGAACCTCTCCTGTTTGGGGAGGGGGGGTGCCCTGGTGGAGAGAATATGTCTCTCCACTGGGAAGACACTCTCTCTGCATATGTTCAGGGGCATGTGTTTGATATTTGCGTCTTGTTTGGGGGTGGTCTTTGGGAGAACCCATGTGAACATTCTTTGGGGTGGGAATTTCATGGAATTGTGATTTAAGTTCTTTGAGGGGTTGAGACTGCTTCATCCTAGTCCAGCTCTGGTTTCCTGGC